AATACCTCGAAGAAAACCTAAGCTGGCCTACTGCGACACAGCCTCCGGATACAGTTTATACGGTGGAATAGAAAATAGATCTCAAACGCCTTCAGAAGAAATAGAGTACGAAACATGAGAAGGCACCAAGACCTGACGGTTTCCATCCAGCCCTGATCAAAGAAGGCGGAGAATCCCTGGTGACCCATCTGACAATCATTGGTGCGATATGGAGTGAAGAGAAAGTGCCTGCAGAATGTAGCAAATTGACAGTTATTCTCCTCTTTAGACGTTGTGTGAAAACCATCGTGGCATCAGCCTATTAGCTGTGACACCATAAAGTGCTCCATGGCCTTATCATTCGAAGGTTGACCGAATAAGGGAAAGATGGAAAGCCAAGCTGAGTGCAAGAAGATGCATCGACCACATTGTCATCCTTCGACAGATTCCGGAACAGCGATACTGCTTCCAGCAACCAACAGTGGCGGTCTTCCTTGACTTGACTCCGTGGAACGTCAGGAACTACGGTGTCTGTGGAGCAAAGGCGTTCCTCATAACTTCTTAAACGTCCCTGAAACGCTGCACGCCAACTCCCGCGGACGGGTGAAGGTCTACTGGAAGCTCTCGTCTGAATTCACCATACAAAGCGGTGTTAGGCAGGGCTGTTTCCTTTCACCGTTCCTCTTCAACGTCTTCCTTGATACGATTGCGGAAGATTCACTGTGGGGTCGAAATACTCCTGGGGAGTACGCAGATGACACACCATGGATCTGATGCCATGGTGAAGCAAACAATATTAAATAATCTATATAATACCGCCTCACTGTTTGGTCAGAAACCTGGTCGCTGCGCGCTGAGGGCGCCAAAAGCCTTTCATTGTTTGACCATTTATGTCTTCGGACCACTGCCCTGGTCTGATGGAGACACCGGATCAGTAATGCTGAAGTATGTCGAACGGTTTTGGGGGGAAATAGAAAACAGGAAAAGTTATGAAACCCTAAATCACTGGCAAGAGCTTACTTGTCCTCGCACACTTCTGGATGGGGTCCTATCGATCCTATCACGTGGTGCAAAACCCTGCGGAACATGACAAGTAACCAAACGCAGTATCGCGCACGTCTAGCCAAAGTTCGCCTGTCGTCGTGTGCTGAACTTGTCGGATGCCGCTGGGTCAGTCGGGTTGATAAGGCCTTAATTCTACATGATGCACAGGTGTGTTTGTCACTGTTCAAATATGTGGGCACCTTATTCTTGTTGCGGACGTGGGCCTTCTTCACATTTCACATTTCTTCCCACTTCTTACGTACTAGTACGGTATCACTGACGTACTGCTGTCAATGACGATGAAGATAAAACCAGTTCCATGCATCAAACGCACTGGATGTGCAGTCTCCAGTCTAATAAAATTTCCGAATTCACTGACTAATGAGGCGACAACGTATTAACTCCCTTCGCTCGCCTTATCCCGGATTTCAGACGAGCTACTTAGTTAAACACCCATGCATCCATTGCTTTGTGTATTGAGCGGGGCTAGTAGTTCAATGCTTCTAGCGTCTTACTGACTGAATGGTATGCTCAATGTAGGACCTAATGCCGCATTTGTACTGAATTTGTATGCCAACTACCAGAGAAACAAGCCATTGCGTTGTGAGTGGAGCCATGTGATGTCGCCGCGAGCCTTCTATTCGACGGATGGATGAAAACAAATACTTTAGAATGGAACGCGATAGGAGGCAGGGATGAAGAGGTAAAATTTGTCACAGCAGCCCAACCACTGGGTTATGGGTGAAAACTTTAGGAGCGGTGACTAGAAGTCAGACTAGGAAAAGTCATTGTCAAACAAGACGAGATCCCAGCTGGGATATCACCAAGACGAAGCGCTCAGAGGAAGTAAAAAAACATATGCGAGATCTCTCGTGGTAACTCAGTTGATCGTAATCGGTCAATTGCAATCATACTGTGAAATTGAACCCAGCGATTTTTTACAGCCAGCGGAACCTTATTGATTGAGACAAACCAGTCAGTGATACGTGCACAGAAGCTATCGACTCAAAATGTCCGCTACAGACTCCATTCCGCACTTGTGCCATGCGACTAGGTGTTTTTTTAAAATGCTGTTGCTACACCGACTACATTTGTGTGTTACGGTTGAAGCTGCTAAAAAGGAACAAGATACCGACATCTCACCGTGTCTCTCGCTGTGTTTGTCAAACCATAAGGCGTCCTAACGTAAACAAGGATTACAAATCATCCGATGCATTGCGAAATGTATGATGAGAGGAAGTAAAAAGACAGTCGATCAATCAAGACAATTTGTCTGGAAATACACCAAAATTACGGAGCATCGACCGGTAAAAAAGCAACTGGAAGTCGGAAACCGCAAGGAGACGTACATAGGTTTTGCGGAGCTTTCAGTCTGAAATGCCGCCCATGCAATATCAATGGATAACATTGGTTTAATCTGCAATCCGAAACACCAGGTTAAGAATGTTTTCTTCGGGACGGGTAGAAAAAGGTGGATAAAAACGCGAAACAACTCCAGCTGACATACCGTTTATTGGTCAATAAAATACTGCGAAACAACAGATTCATAGAAGCATTAGAGAGGACTTATGTCACAGGAAGCAGTGGTCCGTTCACATTCGTACTTACTTGTGGCGAAAAATATTCCTCCCAATAGAGCTTACTTTCCCGTTTCCTTCACCTGCTCCCGGATGAGTCAGTTCTATCGGAACACCTGACTCGGCTTTCCAGCCGAAGTAGAGTTATTTACAAGTGCGGTTTAGCAAAAACTTGTTTAACAAATCTGCTTAACAGTTAGGTTCCCATTCTGGCACAATATCAGAGATGTTTGCAACAATACAAACGATTCAGGAACTTTGAAAATATCAAAGCAGATCTTCTGAATATCCCGTTAAAAGGCAATTACCTACAAATGATGGGGACGAGATCATGGTCGATAGACAGATCGGTGGTTTAAAAGGATTCTGAACTTTTCGAGTGTTGACATCCAAGCTTGAACAAACAAGTATTGCAGATCTTTCAAACTACATAGCGCCAAAGAATCGGAGGTGTTACAACTGCACAATGTAATATGAAACAGGGACTGCAACACGGCAATCATATCTCTGAGCCACAATACAAGTGTCATCTATTGACGTGATCTCATTCACATAACTTGCACATAAATTAGCTAGTCTGTCTCGAACGTCGGATGCCATATTTGTGGTGACAGCTGTGGGACAGGCTCCTCTCTATAACGACAAATCGATAAACCTCCGCCAAAGTCAGTAAGATATTATCGCTGCGGTCAACACACAAGCCGCCATCACGAAATCCTTTCACCAATCGTCAGGTATGTGAGTGACTCAAGTACACAGACCGCTCACTATAGAAGTTACAAGTAAACGTTGACCAAACCGCCACCATCAATTACAGGAGCTGAGAAGGTAAATTTGCACGGTACTTATGAACTAATAACCTGTTTCACTTTAGGCTAGACTATCAAGTGAACTGTGAGTAGACCAGTTCGTCAAGAGCGATATTCCTCGGTAAATGGTTAAGTTGTTTTTTGTTCCGGAAGTTTCGATAATGCGGTCAACCGCATGCTAAAGCAACCGGCCCTTTGTGCCCATAATCAAGTTAAACACGCCAATGGGAACAAAAATGCCGCAGGATGAACACACTCGTAAAACTCTAATCTGCCGCAAAAGGTGTGAACCGGATGAAAGTTGTAGTTGCATTGTTCATTTTGGTTTGAAAGACGTGACCGGTTTATGAAACCAAAAAAAAACAGTCTTCCTGAGTCCGCAATGCACGCCTAGTGCTCACATAAAGTGGACGTGGGTTTTCCGTCATTAGTGAAGCCAATCGATGTTGAATATTGAATAGTACCAAATTCCCTTACATTAACATAAAAATGCACTCCATACCGCTATGACGAGACAAGCACTAAACACGGTAGGCTATTCCCGCTCAATAGCTGCGCGCATGTTAAGGTATATCGAGTCTTCCGAATGAGCAAATAGGGCTGTCGAAACATCTATTCATTTACGGAAATCCGATAAAGTAGGTGCTGTTTTATCACAGCGGGTGAAAGTGACGAAAACTTAGTGCACGAAATGCTGCCTTTCGTCTCTGGATTGACCTACGAAAGCCCACTCACAGTGGATAATACCACGTATGGTTCGCGCTGACGCGCACGACTATCCACCCATTCGTCCGGTTCCCAAGTGTAAGCCCGAGAGAGTAAACCCGGAAGGGGAACGGGAGAGACAGTTCTATTGCTACTAGCATATTCAACCGGTTATCATTCAGCTAGGTTTGTACAACGATGGTCACAAAGAGTCACTTCTAGCACCGTTGTGATATGAACGGTTTTGTGAGGAGCTAAGGCAGTTTCATAAGTTCTGGTGATGGTCACAGAAGGTCACAGAAGTCGCAAGTTTACGTTACTGGCCTTCTTCATGTCCAGATATAGTGGACTCGCGCGCCATATCTCGGACTTATCCAGGGAAAAGATGGTAATCATCACATTCAACCTTGAAGCTCATCGATTAACCGGAAGTGAACATCAGTCTAGACGAGACAGAGATGTCGTTCAGTTGTCAATAATAACGATAGTCGTGCTTGTTGACCAAACGTTGTTTTCGTCATCTATTGAGAATGTCCCTAACGGCGCTCCGCAATCCCGTGCACAGTAATCGCGATATATCGATCTAACTACTTTTAGGTAGGTACAAGTCCGAAATAACAAGATGTTCAAGGGATGTGTTGACCTTATTGGGTAGAAATTAAACACCAGTGACTCCAATAACTGCTTTGGAACAACATCTCTCAGAAAACTCCCTCCAAAGGATAACACTAAAGACTGTACACTCAGCCATCAGCGTTTTCTTTCAATCATCAATAACCCGTGCATAAAGCGAATACAGAAGTAGTTGATTGGCCGGAAAACAACGAACAGACCTTTTCCATTCTGGTGCGCAAATAGCTTTCGAGCACAATGTGAGATTACTCACCTGTAACCCACACCAATGAAAGGCGTTCGCGTTTTCCGTTTCTCTGTCTTCTCTCTATACCGATCAGGATCCAAGACTTCGGCACCCTGACCTTTGGCATCTTGAAACAGCTTATGAATGAATTCATCCGGAGAGGCAACAGGATCCGGGAGACTGGACTTCCTGGGTGGGCCTAAAACTTGCTGCCCACCACCCCCGGTTTCCGAACCACCCACGTAGAATGACTGTCCTTCATCTGGGCCCGTCTTACTGGGGGAAAAGATGAATAATACAAAAATTCACCGAGTCAGGTGAAAAAAACGGCATAAAAAGGGTCCTAATTTCAAAAAGAATGAAAGCTAGAGCAGAGAGGGCAGTTCATGCTATTCCAAAGATAAGCTGGCACCACCTATCCAATCTGAGGTGCACAGATGGATCTATCAATGTGAAAGATGTTAAGGATACATAACTTGCTTGTAGAAACCTGATAACACCCCTGAGTTCCCTCATATCACGCTTGTGGAACTTGATTTGACCATAACCAGAACTACAACCCAGTCAAGGATACCATCCAAACCTTGATCTCCAGCGTAAAATTTACCAACTCGGGGTGATCGAGACTCCACCACACACAGCTCTCTGAACAGGGGAATTGCCAGCGAAATACCCTAGTGGATTCTAGATAAGTCGTTCATATCCATTTGTACTCAGTTCACCTTGACATTATCCTCCCCTGCCTTGATGTTTCATGCCTTGGGTTCATTTGTGGTTACTAGGCCGCGGTATTCACCATCTCCTAATATCTTCCTCCTCTGAAAGGACTATACAACGGTATAAACGGTACAATATGGTGCAAAAATTTTGCGGGTATGTAACTTTGACACTGGGAAGTCTAAAGCAAATCCGTCCTATTTTCAAGTTTTACATAGTCGTACCTTCCTTCAAAGAAAGGCACTCAAGTATCGAACTACACCAGACGGGGTTTGTCCACAAAAAGGTTGCATCGACCAAAGCTTCCCACCATGCCATGCTCTTGAACGACGAGCAGCCGAATGTTACCTGCTTCATCGATTTCCGAAGGGCACTCAACCTAGCAAGAGACACTGTGGAATATAACGGAATCGTCATATATGCTTACCAAGTTAACCAGGCTGTTGAGTTCTTACTACGAGGCAATGATGGCACCGAGTCCGTACGTATGGTGAAGCCGCCGGCCTCCAAGTTGTCATCTGAAGTTTTATTGGTTCCTCTACTGGTGAGTTTGTGTTTAGGATTGCCGAACACATTAGTCTATTTGTGTTGATTCTGACAGCATTTCGGTATGTATGAACACTTCGGTAACTTTGGTGGACACACACACACACTTCGAGATACGTAAACCTACCTGACTATCTGGTACAGCGATTCTCCCTAGTTACCAAGATAGGCAGAGTACCAGCCTGAGTTCCTTGAGCTATTAGGGTTGTGGGCTACACCGGGCAAATTTACAAACCGTGTTGAGCGACGTTGGGGAACTGAGGTCAAGACGAGCAGCATGTGCAATAGTGGGTCTCTGCTGGATCTCTTCAGTCGCTTGACAGACAGCGCGTCCTAGTGCGTACCATGGCCAGTGTCCTATGGGCCGATAAAAAAGCATAGTAGTATGAACCCAGTTCGGTAATGGAAGCTCCTGGAGCCTCTGCGAATACCCTATAACTTTTTTATACCTGATCAGCACGACCGGGTCTACACAGGAGGGCATCTGCGAAGCTATATGTGAAACAGAAGATACACCCATGCACAACCTATGAGAGGACCTAGAGCGCTGGGTGTAGTATTTCTAACAGCGATTCAATTGGATACTTTGATCCTGTGTACAATTAACTGAATTTAATTTCGATCCCTGATCTGTTACGCTGGATCCCCCACAGAACCAGAAAAAGGAATGCTGAACCTTAACCGACACAAAACCCACTTCATCCCAGTTTTTTTCAGCTAAAATAATACATCGAAGTGCAGTGACTCCAGATGCCACAGCTTCGACCATCGACGATAAGGAGAATAAAGGGATGACAGTCATGCATTAGATGGCTCAAACAGTTAATGTAAGCTGAGTGAATGTATATCCTGTATGCCATGGAGCGTGAGCTACGAAGCGAAGGCAATAGCGATTATCCAAAGAGGCTAGTGACTGTGACAAAACCATGTCTGTTGGCCACTAACCATTGACTTATAGCATAATCACACCACCAGTCCGGGAAGACGATAATCACCTGTGCGGCTGCTCCGACTAGTAAGGGTTTCCATGCATCTTCGCTGACCATCTTGGGTCGCCTACGTCTGATACAAGGCTTGGCGAAGAGGGCTCCACAAGATAAATGGCCACATAACAAAAGAAGTACATGGCCTAATTAACGCAACCTGTGGAGCGTGACTAGCTGATCTGTTGAGAGGGAGTGTGTGTGTGTGTGTGTGTGTGTGTGTACGTTCCCGAAAACCACCTGGACTGCACTGTTCTGAGTCCCACCAGAACCGCGTAACCGATCCTCAAACACGGAGATCCCTCGAAGGTCTCTACCAAGCAACATAAAAGTCGACAATCCACATAGTAGGACGGATCGGACAGCAGCATTGTAGACCCTACGCTTGAGAGTCACGTAAGCACCACAAATGTCCGAGGTTGGCAAGCGCTGTCCCAGCCTTCCCAAATCTGGGATTCCATTTTTGCTGGCTCACCAGGACTTATGCAGCTGTCCACATGGACCAACTCAGTCAGTCAGTTTGCCAGCTGTAAATCATGTAAAAAAAATCGTTCAGCTGCAGCACCCTTTCGGTGCCTAGCTACCATGCCACCCGAAGGTTGTACGAGGGCTGGGATAACGCCAGATTGCCCAAGCATAGACAGGAAAAGTGGAGAGACAGAGGTCGGGTTTGAACCACGGACCTTCCGACCAGTGAATTCGCGCTCTAACCACATGGTCCACCTCGGCCTATAAATCATGTACCAAGAAGAGGATGGTTCCAGTCGCTACTGTTTTGGGCACCGGAAAACTGAAGGAAGTGGGAGATATAGCCGAAAATTAGACGGCATTGTCAGTCGGATCGAAAAACTGGGCAGCTATGCGTTATTGAGCAATGGCTGCCGATGTCATTAACCATCGACGAGTTGAATCCCAAGGTCTTCATCCAGTAAAGCAGATGTCAACCCGATTGACATCCTTCATTGCCAGGTCATAGACTTTTCAACATTCAGTTGCTTCCATTCAGCACAAAATTGGGCGAAACTAGCTCCGCTAGGCGGACAGTCTTAGGGCATGCGGAGTGCATGTTCTAGCCAGCATAGCCTATAAATGTTAGTCGTTCAGCTGTAGCGTCCTTTGGGTGCCTAGCTAACATGCCAACGGAAGGGGGCATTTGGGATGGGATACTGTCAGGTTGCCCTAGCCTAGACAGCGGGAGTCAGGATGCTGAGGTCGGGCTCGAAACACGCACATTGCGGTCCATAAACTGGCGCCTTAACCACTGAGCCATATCGACGTTAGCGTAACCTATGAAGCGCTAGTAGCTCAGCCATTATGGGGAAGTTCCTTTTTTGTCAAACCATCTGGAACACTTCAGCATTGCTAATCCGATGTTCCTACCAGAACCAGTCAGTGTTTTCGGGAAACAGATGACCAAACACGGAGAGCTTTCGCACGTCCTTTGTGCGTAGCGGCCACGTTTCCGACCAGTATAGCAGCATGGATCGAACCGCAAAGTGTACGCCCGAAGCCTGTTAGACACGGAAGACTAAGAAGGAAATGGAATAGGTGAAGAATGCCGGGAACTCCCGAAGATTAATTCAGTTAATAGATGCATACCCAGGAACTGTCAGTGAAAAAAGCCATTAATGATCAAATTGAGGAACCGTCTTAAGTAAAGAAGAATGCCTCGACCACTTTTGTCAAACATCTGGAACACTTCAGCATTGCTAATCCGATGTTCCTACCAGAACCAGTCAGTGTTTTCGGGAAACAGATGACCAAACACGGAGAGCTTTCGCACGTCCTTTGTGCGTAGCGGCCACGTTTCCGACCAGTATAGCAGCATGGATCGAACCGCAAAGTGTACGCCCGAAGCCTGTTAGACACGGAAGACTAAGAAGGAAATGGAATAGGTGAAGAATGCCGGGAACTCCCGAAGATTAATTAAGTTAATAGATGCATACCCAGGAACTGTCAGTGAAAAAAGCCATTAATGATCAAATTGAGGAACCGTCTTAAGTAAAGAAGAATGCCTCGACCACTGGACCGAACATTTCGAAAAATAATTCTCGTGGGCAACCGCTGATCCTACAGCTGAAGTAGAACCCTGAACGGTGAAGCTGGAACCTCTTACAGAATCGGATGTTTGTGGCCGCATATGTTCTCTCTAGCGCTACCGAGCTACTGACTCGAATGACTTCTGACCTACATTTGTAAAAGATGAGGGTGAAGTCCTCAGTCGGAGCTTGCCCGATCGGTTTGTCTGCATCTGAGAAAAAAGATTGTCCCAGACAGCTGAAAAGAATTAGTTATAATGAACTGGGCAGATGAACCTATTGAAGATGAATGGCTCGGAAAAGGTGTCAAAACTAAAGGCCGTGGATCCCAAACTGAGTTGAAAACGGTCAAGGATAAAGGATGCGGTCTGGGACAGCTACCAACCTCCTCCAAGTTTCGAAAAGTCCTGGCGATATAATTACCTGTACTAATATGACACCAAGGGCACGCAGGCGGAAAACGAAGGTTTGTGGCTGAGGAAAAAGGTGACAAGATTAAGAAACGGAACGAAGGGAATTAGCAGACGTGAGGGAAACGCGTCGGTTTTTCATGTTCGTCTCTCACCAGGGAACGAGGACTGATCCCCTCTACCAATGTAGTCACGGCCGTCTGGACGAACTCAAGTTATAACAGTGAATGAGACCTGCAATGAGCTGAAAAAGCTTAATCCAAAAGGGACTCTGATGTCGGCTAACCTGTATCCGGCCTTGAACATTCACTGTCGTCCCTCATGGAACTGGTCAACTTTTCCATATTAAAAAGGACTGTAACCTTTGAAGGGGAAGCAGCAACATCTACCCACTGAGGTCAGGAAGCTAGCTTTGTGATCTGTTAGCCTAATGTACTAGTAAAAATCCGGAGACGAACTTCGAGAGAGAAAATATGCGAAAGCATGCTAACAACTCTGTTGGATGCTGTTTAACATGGGTTTACGGAGGGGGTCGTTTGTATCCCCGACTCCTTGAATGAAATTGTGGAGATTATTAGTCAAGGTGAGCGGGTATAGGTCTTCACTTGACAAGTCTTTCATCTCAGCTTATCACCGGTTGCTGCGACTGGCGTGAGTTGATAGAATTCCTAAGGGACTGCTCCCCCAGCGTCAGGGTGCAAAATGAAATACCCACCAAAACTAGCCCAACAAACGGGATCTCCCATTTCTTATCTGTCATTCATACCAACGATCTGTCTGTTGGGTTGAATGGCTGTCTCATGTTAGCTGACAATTTAGCAAAAGTGCGCAGCTTCAAGGTGACCTAAAGGAAACCAAGCAGTTCTTCAGGTCATGGTATCTCCCATCGAATCCATCTGAATCTCCAGTATTGTCTAACTAGGATGCGGGGATTCGAGTGTGCTACCAAGAGCTCCAGAAGCCAAAGATATGTGAGCTATTTTAAACAAGACGCTTGGGTCAGCGGCACAATGGGTGAATATTGCTCAACGTGCTAGGATAGCGTCGCTCATGCTCAAGAGAACTGAAACTAGTCGCCACCCGGATGTATAGTTCCTCTTATATTGTGCCTCATAAAGCCACACCTGGAATGTCGCGTTCAAACGTGGTCGGCTTACCTAGAAGCAAGTCGCCCTTGCAGAAAGTGTCACGAATAACTACTAAATGGGTAAATGAACAGAAGAATTTTTTATACAGACTAAAAAAAATCGTTCAGCTGTAGCGCCCTTTCGGTGCCTAGCTGCCATGCCACCCGAAGGAAGCACGAGGGCTGGTATACAGTCAGGTTGCCCAAGCCTAGACAGGGGAAGTCGAGAGACAGTGGTCGGGCTCGAACCACGGACCTTCCGGTCAGTAAATTCGCGCTCTAACCACTTGAGCCATCTCGCCCCTTTATACAGACTAAAAAGCCTAGAGCCATTCCGGCTAGAATGTTCAGAAATTCGGAGCAAACCGCCTGAGGTAGATAAAACTAACAGTTAGGGCAGAAACGGTACATGAGAGAAACACATTTGAGCCGAGAGATAATTGAGAGGACATGGGCAAATGCTGAAAAAAAAAGAAGAGATGCCAACGTAATATTCGGGGAGGATCCTCCGCACATCGGGTGGTCAGTCCCTGGAACAGACTGTTAAAGGACGCAGTACAGTCGTCTTACGTTTCTTAAAAAGAGGCTTGGAATGCGCTTGCTTGTCTACTTCCCGGGTCTGATCTGTCCACGGAGAGGACACTCTCAGTGGGAATACATCAGGTTACGGCCCCGCGGAAGTGTGTATGCACACTGTAAGGAATTGTGCAATGTCGAATGTTGTGGTGTTGTTCTTTGATGTACTGCTGTTGTGCCTAAAAGCCACAATTGTAACCTATTCTTTGTGAGATTAGTTTGTGGTGAATGCTCGGGAAGAGGGATTGCCCTCCATGAGAGCAGAGAATGTAACCACCGTAGAAGGCAATCGCAACTGGAGCTTAGGTTTTGAGTCACTAGACCTAAGCAGGCAACTCCACCCATAGCCCTGCGTGAATTGCTCCAAAATGTCACCTAGATTTCGAGAACGCGCGCCAAACATACCTGTCGCTTCTGATAGCGTCAAAAGTGACCAATTTCGGCTGGCGGCCCAACAAAGGAGGCACTCCTGAGTTTCCTTGATTGATGCTTTCGTCTGGTCTGTCACTTACTGCCTCGTTGGAAGCATCCTCATCATCAAAATGCGCCTTAATAGCCTCCTGTATAACGGATTACTCATCAAATCCAAGACTACGAACCTCGTAGTTCCATTCAAACGCTTCTAATAAGTGTTGTGCCTCGTTCTCTGAGGTATTTGCGACTGCGCAGAACTTTCGGATCAAATCTTCCCTGTCTCCCATTGAAAACATACACCTATGAGGTGAGAAACGGCCGAATAACAGAACGATGTACAACGAAACACCGACAACTGAAAATACGTGTACCGAGCTATCAGACAAAGTCGTGCCCAAGGTCGTTTTCAGTGCCAACGGTTTTTCACGGATTCACCGCCGACACACGCGATCGAGGCTTCGCCCAAGCTTCACGGATTGGTATACAAGAGCGACGCTTTTGCCCAAACTTCCCGGGTCGGTTTTGTTCTTGTCGTTCGGCGGCTGTCTTTCACCTGAAAGGCACAAGTGAAAAGGGGCGTATCACTGCTATTTATGTTCTCGGCGCGGGGCAGTATGCTTGCCAACGCGAGGATTCGCATAAATAAATGTCTAGTAGTGCTCTAAACTGGGCTCTAGAAGGAGCGTGGACAACCGTCGGAGGAAGGTCATTCCACTGGGCTAATACCCGAAATGATAAAATATTTAGCCTAATGAATGTGAGCGCTCTGAGTTTGAAAACCTTCTTACTATGTCCCCGCCTACCGGGTTGTGGTTGTTCTTGTTGTCCAGCGGCTTCTAATCAAACGAAAGACAGCCAAAAAGGGTGTGGCACTGCTGTTTAAGTTCCTCATCGTGGGACGAGCGTGGGGACACAAAAAGGCGTCTAATAGTGCCATGTACTGGGTACTTGATGCAGCTTGAAGAACCGCCGCAGGAAGGTTATTACATTGACCAACTATCTAAAATGAGACTGACTGTAGGACAATAAAGGTGCGCGCTCTGAACATGAAAAGCTTCCTACGGAGACTTTTCCGGCGGCGACTTTTCGAGCAATAAGCGTGCTTCGTTGGTAGTGCTTTCCTCCCCGTTGTGTTGTTGCCTGCCGTGTTCAGGTTACAACGACCCAATCATGCCTAAATCGGCATGTTCCCTACAAGTTAGGAAATTAACCTATTATTACACCGTGTCTGTCCGACCATGGGTCGGTTGGACCGACAGTGAAAAACCCTGTGTGGCCAAACCCTGTTCAAACAGGGCATAATGAAGTATTAGGTCTCCTCGGGAGTGACGGTGCTTTAGAGGAAATAGGCCAAGAACCGCGAGACGCTTTTCATGGTTCATGGGTTTGATGCCAGAAAAACGTTTTGTAGCCCCTCGGTGGACGACCTGAGGGCTTTGTGTTCCTTGCATCCTGGGTGGGCAACTTAGTTTGGACGTTCAGGAGCGGTCTGACCTATACACTATTGAGTACTTGGAAGCTCATGCAAGTAATATGGGTACAGGTATATAGGTAGAAAGCCCAGGGCCCGTAGACACGGATCATCTGTGATTTCATCTGAAACACTTTTCTGTAGTTGCTGAAAGTGTGGGAATTTGCAGGCCTCACCATCTGCGATGTTGAGCGGAGGGCAATTGTGGCAAACGGCACTTGTCTAAATGCATAGTTAAAGTAGTGCCTTCTAGAAATTGAGTGACTTTGCGTACATAAGTAATTAACATTATTGTAGAATGCGATTGTCGCTTCAGCCAGCTAGGAAGATCACGCAATTTTCAAGGGTGGGAATTACGTGGGAAGGAATGTGGATGAAAGGATTCCGTCGTCTCCGGCTTGAGGCAGTGGGAAGATGTAAGGGACGCGGCCGATTCAGAAAGTTTGTCCACGAATGGAACCGGTGGGGATGACAAGATGCTTTTTTGTAACCACGAAAGAACGGGCTCACGTGGGTAGCCTAATTGGTGCAGTTTGTGAATGAGCGTGGAGAATATGCCTCGAGGTTTGGCAAAATGGGAGACGTGCAACCAGTTAGCACCACTTAAGATGCAGTAGGCTTGGATGAAATAATCTATTTGGATGAGATGTTTTATGGAAACTTAGTAGTGAATTAATGCTTTCTCCCGAACATCCTCAGCAAGTATCTAATACGCTTCAGCAAGGGAAGCTAGACAAGAAATCAGTGTTTCGAAAGAGACCAGATGATACAGTGTAGCGGTAGCTAGATCTATCTTTCACATCCGCATCTGCTGTCTCCCTCATGCTTTTTTGTTCCACATACCACAACGTGCATCATGAAACACAGTCATGACAGGAAATGCCCTTCGGTTTACATCAGGTTCCTAAAGGGGAAAAGATTGTCGACGATAAATTAGCAGGGGAACAAAATATTAGGCAAGTGCAGAAGAGTACTCTTATGTATCTGGACACTATGGTGAAGGCGGTCGTGTATCAAAGAACCAAATTTCATGAACAACATTCGCAGTATTCATGAAGAGGGACAAGGAGCTAAGATAAGTTAAAAGAATTGGTATGGCTTCAATTTAACCGGGAAATTGTGAGGGGATCCGAAAGTCACCTCAAAAAGCAATGATGATGTGCGACAAGCTATTCTAATTCCTCATAAACCACACATGTTATTTCTCAATAACTAATTTTCAGACGTACGGCCATCCATTTTACTTTGGTTAATAACCACGGGTATCGGAAAAGAGACTTTGGAGATTTCTGAAGTCCTGAAATCTCTTTCCCGAAGTTATGGTCTCTAGGACGCTTTAGTGACGGAAATCCAAGCAGCTTGATTAATCAGCTTGTCAGTGATTTCAGGCATTATGCGGCTAGAATGTGCTAGAATGTGTGTGTGTTTGCGTACTACCGGTTCCATAGGCACCTGTACCTAGGAAGTGTCTGGTAGCGGGGCTTTGACCGGAGTTCTACAGTTATCATTAAACGGGAGGTATTTCGGATCCCCTTGTAGCTGGATGTGGTCGGTCTGGACACCAATTTACACAATTTAGATTGCATTGCTGATTTTTCGTGTGAAGGGCATAATTATAGATTCTAGGGAATGAGTAAATGTATTCAGTGCATGAATTGCGACATCTAGGTCACCATTTCTCAGAGCACGGGATGGAAGGTCATAACAATTCAGGGTAATTAGCAGAAGCGCAGGAACATCAGATGGGTGGTGGTATCGCTCGTAAGAGACGGACGGCTACGCTGACGGCACCCAGCCGTATGGGTTATGTTGAAAAGTCGATGGGCACCCTGTAAGGGATGCCATCAAAAGGTTGAATGTAGCAACAAGATCGACCAAGGAACAACGTTCGGCGAAAATCCAACGAGTAACATTTTGATCGTTCCGTATATAACACCCTCAGAGTGGGCGGCTAAACGATTTTGAACCGGAGGGGGTATCCAGGGTGGCGTTACTGTCCCGTACTTAGGCGCTTCCTTTGCTGCGTCCAGGGGGAGAGGTGTGTCACCAAATAGGTTTGCGAATTTGTTGGTCTTGCGTCGGGTATGAGCCAGAGGTTTCAAAAGAGCATATGGGGCGTGATTTTCCGCTTCCTGCTCCGGCGATTTCAATGCCGGGGGATCAATGCAGGGATGATCAACCACATCGCATCCGGATTCCGCAGACCTTTTATTTCTAAGACTTAGTTCTCACTTCGTGGTTGGAAATTTCGAGGATTACTTCCTGCCGCTTTTGTAATACCACTGTTCAAGCGCCTGGATTCGGTGCTAACCGAAGAGCTGAGAGAACAATTTTTCCTCGATTCCTTGGAATTTCGAGCACCGTTTGGCACCAAAATGACTATGTAAGACCCTCCTGGGTCGCTTGTGCGTTGAATAAAACCAGCAAGGAGTATTAATTTTGGTGGCACTCCTGTAGGGCATTCCCGCATAGGACTGCGCCTTGAAAGCGCAAGCCACTCTCGAACGGGATAAGATTTAGTGGCTTGTTCTTTGGCTGTGTCTTGTTCTATGGCTGTCTAATTCGTTTCGTATTTGTATGGATTTTTGACCCATCAGCGATCAGCGTAGGCAGCCTGGTATACCTAGGATTCTTCGGTACATTTATATCGGATATGTAGTCTTGCACTTAGGGTTATGAGTGATGAATTAATCCACGACAAACAAGACATGTTTGACGGAGTTGTACTAGTGGTTTCTCGTTTTGGATAACAGTGAGACCATCACGGTGGCACCGGGCCAATTGGAGCTCATGAACTGGCTGTGAAATTCACTGGGGTATTTTTATAGAAAGAACAATCTCCAAATATTACCAGGTCGTCCATAAATTTGGGGTTGCCTAATATTCATCAAAAGGGGAGTGTAAGATCCGGACGGCTAAGGATCTCATTCGTCCGTTAAAACAAAGCTCAGCAAGGGCTATCTGACAGGTGCGATACATAGGTAATACAAAATAAACAGCTGTGCTGGACGTCCGGTTGGTGTAGTCGGTGACGCGTTCGCCTGCTGTCCGCAGACTCTGGGTTCGATACCCGGTCGGCGCGCTTTTCGGTCGGAGTGGACGCTCGTGAATAGGTGTAATCCAGACGAACTTGCGAGCAATGACGGACGGGCAAATTAAGTATTGACATTAGTTACTGAGGCATAAGCAGACCCTAAGCAGGGAAGAAACAGGGGGAAAACGAGCAAAGAAACGAAACGGTGTCATAATAAACAGATGCGAGTCACGTTACTCATGAGTAGTCAGAAAACAAGGAAAGTTACCGCTGGTCACCGTT